ATTAACTAGAATCATTTTTGCCTTCATCTTTAAGTACCTCTCTAATCCATCTTTCTTTCCTGTTCAACCTTACCCCTCACTGTACTGGAAATGGTCATTTTTCCTGAAAATATATTCTTTCTAGTTCATTTTCTCTGAAATTAAAAAAAAATTAACATTTCTAACAACAATGCTAAAAAGTCCAAGCTAAATTCCTTTTCCCAAAATTTCATTCTTCCTAATTTCTTCTCATCATTTATTCCCTTTCTGTTTCACTCCGTCATAATTTATGCTCTAGGAAATCCCTCCTTGATCTCATTCACTTTTGCTCACTCTCCTTCACTCTTTTATTAGGTCCTCCAACCCCATCCTTCCATTATCCCTTTCAGAGTTTGATCTCAAGATATCTTTCCATCCATCTCTTCCACAATTCATCTCAAGGAAAACCCCTGCTGCACACCGGCCTCCCCACAGACGCCTGCTCTCCAGCCCTGCGGCGTGGCTCTCCCCATTTCTCCCCTTCTCCAAGGCTGTTCCAGCCCCTTCAGAAAAGTCAGCCTGTTATGTTCCCTTGAAAACTGTTGAACAGAGCTATGGATATTTTACTTTTATTCTCCAGCTTCCTCCACGCCCCTTCTTTCCTGTTTTCCTGTCATTTTTTTCTATGTACTCCAAAGACGTCCTCCTGTTCCATACCAGGGACAAGCCTCTTCCTCCTCCTCCTTGAGTATGTGTACACTTCTCTGATTCCAAACTTCTCATTATTCTTCCTTTGAGCTGGCCTTTATCTTGGTTTGGTTATGCTACCACTGAGAAGGAATTATTCTTTGGCTATTTCTTTTGCCTTGTTTCTCCATGAGCATCTTTCAGGCATATAACAAGTAGATTAATCTTATACATGAAATATCTGGGCTACATTTTTAATTTTATAGTCCTACTCCCCAGGCCAATAATAGAATGGATCTCCAGAAAGAACAGACATTCAGTTGCTGAATGGAAGGAATGTTTCCTTCCCTACTCAAAAGCAGCCCTTCTGACTAATTAAAGAAATACGTCAAAACGGTTCCCAAGAAGAGCCCATATGTCAGCACCAAAGAATTAAATATTTTGAAAATGAGAAGAACTACTTGGTCTATTTTTCAATAGAGATTGAGAACAAAGGAAAAGAAGAGAGACAGGGAAGAAATTAATAAGAATTTAAGCTGAAATAAATATAGAACTCTCTAGTTGCAATGAAAGGGAAAACTAGGTAAGCTTAGAACTCTAGTTAAGCTCAAAGCCACTATTATATGCCTAAAGTTTATACCACATTTCTAACATGTGCCATCAGCTTTTGGCCAAAGCCAAGCCCCAAAAAGGGAAAAAAGGGACCTAAAAAGTGTTGGAATGATAAAGTGATGAGCGGTAGATAGAAGCCTTTCACATGACACAAATAATTCTTTAACACAGTGTGCTTCAAAAATAATGGGGGGTGGGGGGAGAAACACGGGCAGACACTTGAAGACATCAGTGCTTTGTGAGAATGTACTTCACAGACTACAAAACACTATTTGAATGTAAGCTAGTCATTATTACTTGACAGAAGTGCAATTATGTCTCACCCAGTGCTGGGTAGCAAATGGTATTAAGCATGAGCCACTAGCTCTCCCAAAGCTAAAATAGCAAGAGTGGGTAGGGGAAAAAAGAGCACTGGGAAGAACTTATTTCTCCTCCTGAACCTATGTTACACCCTGGGGAACTGAGCTCCTGTAATACTCAAGTCGTAGAAACGAGAGGCACCAAGAAACAGACGCTGTCTCAATTTGGCTGTCTGCCTTCAAGGATCAAATAAAAATGTGTGTTTAGAGAAGCGGAACAGCTGCCCAGCTAGTCGGTTGCTCACCTTTGAGTCCTCAGGACTTCCCATATTCCTTAGCCAACCATTTCTGCGGCCTCTGAGAAGCACCAGACTAAGGAGTAAACATAAATAGATGGCTCGGGTCCTGAGTTGCCTGAAGACAACAGCATTACTCCCTCATAACTCATCAGGAAAGTTCAAATAAGGCACCATCACAAGGTTTCCATCTTTGCGCTGCATGCAGAAATGGTTGGAAATTCCTCCTCACCAGTTCATTCAATAAATACTTGTTGATACTGTGCCGTAAGTGATACTGTGGGTATTAAAATGAGTAACATAAATTATATATATATATTATCATGTATGTATTACACACACACAGCCATGAATAAAGCTTAACACTTTGTAGGTTGTAGGTACTCACTATTAATTTCCTCCCTCCCTCTTTTTATCTTAAAAGTCCTACCTTCTAACTTACCATTTTAGAGGGGACAAATAAATAATTCTGCTATCAGTGCAACCTGTGATATGATGTATGATATGATATGACATGGAAGTGACAAGAGCAAGTGGCATATTAGCTGAATCTTAGGCAATACTTGGCCTGGTAGACACTGGACATATAGAGGATTAAGAGGTAACCACAGTCAAATAGATTTGCATTTCAAGAAACAGAATAAAGATTTCCTCTGGAATCTAAGCTAGTTGAGTAAAGAAAAGGTAACGTTAATTTAAATGAGAGCTACTTACTACCTGCTTTACCTTAAAAAAAAAAAGAGGTACTGGAAGAAAGTTCAGAGCAAAGAAGAGAAACTAATTTTTACTAACAGTCAAATGCAAAAGAAATTGTAAGTATCTGTCAAAAACAAGGCTAAGTGAACTATTTTTGAAGCAACAGAAAAAGACCCCTGAGCAAGAAATTTTATAGCCATCCTTTTTCTAGGTCGGAACTCTCTTAGAATGAGACAAAGAAAAATCTGGACCTAGAATAAGAGGAAGATGTTAGGAATCCATTCACCACACTGACAGAGATTTGTTTAACAAACAGATAAAGAGCCAGTGTAATCCCATAACACAGGAAGAGGGAATGGACTGAGGGGAATAAATGAAAAATTAGGACTCCAGAATAAAGGGCAATACATTTTTAGAACACTCATTAGGTTAAGTTAGGTAGAAAAGAAAAAAGAAATTATTAGAACATGATAAAGGAAAGAATTGTTTTTTCATGTTTCTCCACAAGAAAACATTCAGTATGCTTTGCAAAAATTAAATTTGATACTTTAATGTGTACCTGAAAAACCGCTAAGTGGATTCCGGAATTTAAAAATCCCTAATGCTCATTCTAAATAACTTAGAACAGAGAGGGTGGAGAACGAGAAATGCTTCCACACAAAATAAATGACTTTTCTGGTTTCTTTTATAAAGGCATAAATGAAGGGCGTTCTAAAAATATACAAATAGAACTCCAAAATGCTAGTATTTTTTTTTTAAGAAACAGAAAACCACCATGAAGAAAAGATCTTAGGAAGTATACAAATTTCATTACAACATAATTGGACTTGCAGGAACAATTACCGTGCCGTACTGTAAGGGGAGCTGTTGGCACGTAAGAGCAAAGCACACACATGAGCTCATCCACCGGCCTCGGCAAAACCCACTTGCAGCTAGAAGCAGTCATGTTTCAACACCTCAGATTCCCTAATGCTGACAAGCTAAACAACTTGTTTTGTCTCTGGGAGCTCTCCTCTGGTGATTAACTGCTTATGGTGAATACTAATTATATGAAAGTACAGTATTGAAGAAGTAGTGGTCTATTTCCTCTACCTGCAGCCTCGGCATGGCTTTGAATCTAGAAGGTACCAGGTAGAGCCACTGCAAACCAAAACCAAGAAAGGCATTTCTCTCCCCACCCCCGGTAAATAAATATATCTCCTACTTTTTAGTATAACACAGCTCACTAATACGAAACTTCTTTTAACCTCTGGGCTCCAAACCAAATAGAATTACACTAAAGTGAGTGTTTTTAAGGCCTGTAATAATCATATGGACAAATCTGCAGCAAGAGTTTGTGAATTAGTGAACTATCAGTGTCCTCAATTCCCCATGTCCCATGTTGAAAATTTACCCCAAATTGTCAGTTCTTAGGAACTGCACCTCAGATTAAAATCTTCTCACCGGGGAGCCTATAAGAATTTGTTCTTGTGTTTTAAATCCTAAGTGCTTGTTAAACCGCCAACACTGCAAAATTAGAGACTATTAAACAATATAAGGCAGCAAGTGATTAAATCTACCAAATACACATTCAAAGCAGCTTAAGCTACTTTTTAATTAAAAATAAAATATCACTGGCTAAATTCAGATGTCTTAGCTATCCGAAAAAGGTTACAAGGCTGTTCAAAATGTAAAATGCTGCTAAGTCCAGATAGAAAAGGAGAAGTAGGGTAGGGGTGGGCTGAGTTGGTAGCTCCTCTTGTCCCTGAGCCCACGGCGGAGGGGCCTCAAAATGCTGACCCAGTTAAGTCAGAGGACATAGGTGGGTGGGTGGAGGGGTCCAGGCTGCACAGCAGGGTGAGGACGCCATGTGGCTGCTGATTAAATAAGCTTTATTAGCCAAGGCCTCAGAGGAGACAGGGTGTTTCACCTTCTTGGCAAGGGGAATGAGTTGAGTAACAGCATCCCAAGAAGCTGAGGCACTGGAAATGTATAGATGGCCAGAGGAAATGTTAGTGCTACTTTTAAAATACAGCTTCAATGGACAGATAAACAGTTCGTGAAATAATAATTAGTGTTTGGGAAAGAAGACATAGGGACTTTCGAATTAATGGGATGGCTTGCGATTGAAAGAAATTTTTACTGTAAAGTTAGAAGTAAATAAACATTGTAGCTTTAAGTTGTTCCTACTTGTTGAAAGTAAAGAAAAGAAAAAGGGCCAGGGGGCTTAGTCAACGTTGGGCAGGAAGCCAAGAATCTGAAGCTGAGACTTAAGGCTGGGATGATATCATTCACTCTGAAGTCTTGATACTCTTTCTAAAGTATGAGAAAATTTACTGGTAAAACCTTACCTCACCCACAGTTTTCTTATTTTTAACTCTATTTTTTTCTCTCAAGAATAATTTTCCAAATCTGCTTTCTGCCTTATATGTAAATGTTATGAATTTACATTTAGCTTCCAACATGGTCTTACCTAAAAAGCTTGCCCTAAAGTAAAGCACAGGCACTTGGTAGCTACAGGAATACAAGACATGATACTCATATTTAATCACTTCGGTTGCCGTGGCAGTCTCGGTCACCTCAGAATCATCCAGAGGTAGCTCTAAAGCCTCCTGAAAAACAGCAAATACAAAAACAAAATATGTTTGTCAATAAAAAGAAGTACATTAACACGAAGAGAGAAAGATGAGGTTTTCTTCTTGCAAAATAACAGTTAAATAAATATAGGACTATGAGGTAAGGAAAAGGGAGTTTCCCACATTAATGTTTAACATTTGAGTCCTGGGTAAATAGTAAAACCAGAAAACATTAGCATTAAGTAATTCCAGATTGCTTTCGAGAGACAAAGCAGCTCTGGGTAAAAAAACAGGAAGGAAAAAAAAAGCAAAAAGATCTATTGCAAGAGCAACTGAAAAATCTTTACTGGACAATTTTAGCAACAAGATGATGGCTATACAAGCTACCTTCTTCCCTACCTGTGAAAGCTAAAAACATCCTAACAATTGAACAAGAGACTGTGAAATGTCCCTAAAGATTCTATTGTACTTGCCAAAAGATGATTCATTGTGTGCTGAACAATTCCCAGTTCCATTTTGAATAAGAAAGTTATTTTGCAAGAGGTTGAGTTTGTTAGGTACATTTCAAAACCTGAGATGAATCTGTTTTCTTTATTATTGTGCTATCTTTGGTATATTTCTACAATAAATCTTGATTTATAATAGAGTAGATGGCAAATATTAATGTCAACTTAAACAGGGTTTTGTTAACAAAGATGGTTCTAGCCAGCTCACTTCTCACCTAATCATTCTCCACCAGTTGATTTTTTTATTATTATTACGTGTGGGGTTTCTTCAGAATGTATGTTAATGTTTGGAAGCAATTAATTGGACACGTTGAGTCAGAATCTGGTTCCATCCACATTCACTTATTTATTTGGGTTGAAGAGTTTCCTTTGATAGTAAATTAGTGGAGGGAAAGAAGCAGGTTGGTTTGGCTCCTTCCTACCTCTCATTAAAACAGTAACTACAACAATGAACAATTGGGAAGAGCTGCAGGAAAGATTTCATACTTTATCAATATGAAATAAGGTTTCCTGTGGAGATAAGTAAAGCCACAGACCACTCTCCAGATCTGTTATCTGCTTTACTAATTCCCCACTCACAGTCAATTCATTGGAGGAGATATTACACTAGATAAATCACAACTGGAGATATTTACAAAGTAGGTTTTCACTAAACTCCAGTAAACACTATCAATTAAATACAGTGAATTAAATAACCAGAGAGAAATCACTGAAATAAATATTCCAGATACAGAAAATTAATACAGTAGCAAGGAAGAAGTTTTTCTCTTTGTATATTTAAATTTTCATTAGGCAAAGATAAATATGTCTTCTTTTAAAGAAATTCTCTTAACCAAAATTCTTTCTTTTTAGTCAAAGATTAGGTTGTTTAGCATTTATAATTTCTTTTCTTTCTTAACATTATAAAATCGTTGTGATTTAAAATATTTCAAACACTGCACAAGAACATTTAAAAAAAAAGTGAAACTCCCCACATCCCAGCACTGTAGTAACCTCGGATTTGTAATCATTTTTAATAGGTCACTGTGTAGTTTTTCAGGCTTTTTAATTTTTTGGCCTACAACCACATAAATACATACACACCCACCTACCCTCTCACTCCGGCATTCCCAATTAAGTCATGCTGTATACACATATGTTCCTTGATTTGATTTTTTTCACTCAGGGACATACTACCACATGCTGCCATGTCTGTGCTGTAGATTTTGTTTCTTCTTTTAATGGCTTCACTGTATACCAATGTATGACTATGCTGTAGTTTGTAGGTTTTTTTTTAAACATTTCCATCCTGCTGGATATTTTAGAATAACTATAATTTTCTGCTACTACAACTAATGCTGCAGTGAATATCTAAACGCATACATCTTTATACACCTCAATTTTTCTATGATGCAGATTCCAAAAGGTGACATTATTTTATGAGAGGGTATGTGCATTTTAAATTTCAATAGATACTGACAATTTGTCCTCAGAATGAGGCTGTATCAATTTATATTCCCAGCAAAAATGTGTAAGAATGCCCTTTTCCATATCCCATAAATATGGAATATTACTTGTTTTTAATTTTTGTCTATTTGATGAATTTTTAAATGTCAGTTTTTTGTTTTAATTTCTAGTTTCTTGATTACTAGTGAAAGCGAGTATCTACTCATATATTCATCAGTAATTTGTAGTCTTCTGCAATTTGCCTGTTCTTATTCTTTGCCTGTTTTTCTGATACTTAATTTCCACTTTCTTATTGAATTATATAAACTCTTTTTATATTAGAAATAATAACTTATTACTGGAAATACATACATATAAATACCTGCACCACAGAAAAACAGAGGTATGCAAGGATGTGTGTGTTATGTGTGTATGAAATATTTTCACTCAGTTTTAACTTTGTTTCTTGTACATTTTATTATAAAGATTTTTTTTTTACTTTAATGTAGTCAAATCTTTTAATGTAGTCAAAGCAGATACATTTTCTATCTGTAGCTTCTGAGTTACCTGTCTTCATTAGAAGGGCTCCTGCTAGGTTCCACTTCATGCTTGAAAGTTAGAAAAGTGTTCAACTCTTTTATTCTACACACACATACTCTCTCTTTCTCTCTCATACACGTGCTTTTAAAATTGACATTTAGATCATTAATCCATACTAATTTTGTTTTTGTGTATAGCGTGAGGTAAGAATTTTTCCCAGATGATTTCTAATAGTCCATCTTTTCCCACTGATTATAATGCCACTTTTACCATAAATTAGCTTTCTGTGTATTTATCCTCTACTCTTCTTTATTGAGCTATTTCTTTTCTTAGACCATCACTGTCCAGTTTGTAAGTAAATACTGAATTGGGTCATTAATTTCTGCATAAAACTGCAGAAATAGATTGCCTATGATTCAGTCCTGCTAGGGAGGATAAAATTCCTGGAAAGACTGTCCTTCACTCAAACTCAAATTAAGCACTTAGGTATGTTGGGGCTAATACCAGGAACTTGAAACTGGTGATTAATTAGACACAGATTCAGATTCTCTGGAACAGTTAGGAGGTCCAAGGAATAAGAGAGGGGACAGAAAAAGCTTCTTTAAAGAGCCTATGAGAAGTTTTACTCCAGTCATGGTTCTCACTGGCAGCTGAGTACATTTGTGGGGTTTGAAGGCTAGAGTACCTGTCCTCTAATAGGGAGTGCTGCTATGTCACTCAGGCCCTTGCTCTGGGCAGCTATTTATGGGCAAAGACATTATTGCACCCTTAACTCATACTAACTAAATTGAATTCTTGGCCTGTGTCTGCTAGGATCTTTCTATCATCCATGGTCACCTATATGATGCCCATGCAAATATCATCCCTTGAAGTCATGCAGTTTGGAAATCTCTAAACTTCTACATATTTTCTGCTTCCCTTTCTCAAAGTGCCAGATGGTTTTAGAACTTCAAGACCAAGGTTCTTATTTTATTCATCTTTGTATTTCCAGAAACTCTAACACTGAGCTGAGAACCATGGTAAGCAGCATTTTCTGTCAGTAGCAGATCTGTTTCCTCTAAGTATACTATAACAAACTTCATAGGTGATTAACCAGCAAGCCTACCCTGACCTAAAGTCTTAAGAGAAGTGAATGGAGGAGTAAAAATGCAAAAGATCACCAGATGATATACAAATGGCAAACAGGCAAATGAAAAAGATTTTCAATATCATTAGCCATCAGGGAAACACAAATTAAAAGCAAAATGAGATAGCACAACACATCTATCAGAATGGCTAAAATAACAAACAGTGACACCTTCAAATGTTGGTGAAGAGCAACTAGATCATTCGTACACTGCTGCTTGGAATATAAAATGGTACAGCCTCTCTGGAAAACCATATGGCAGTTTCTTATAAAACTAAACATGTAATTACCATACAATCCACCAATTACACTCTTAGGCATTTATCCCAGAGAAATGAAAAACCTGTACACAAATGTTCATAGCAGTTTTATTCAGATTAGCCAAAAATTTGAGACAGTTCATATGTCCCTTAGCAGGTCATGGTTAAACAAACTGTTACACCATCTCACATTGCTCGGCGATGAAACGAGCAAAATGTTGATATACTCAACCACCTGAGTGAATCTCTCAGGAATTACGCAAGTGATAAAAGCCAATCCAAAAAAATTACAGACTGTATGATTCTATTTAGAGAACAGTTTTGAAATGATAAAATTTTAGAAATGAAGAACAGAGAACAGACTAGTATTGAGGGGGTGGGTGGAGAGAGTTGGGTATGGTTACAAAAGGGCAACATGAGTCCTTGTGACGGTGGAACTGCTCTATATCTTGACCATGGTGGTAGATAACATGAATCTATACATGCGATAAAGTTGTATACAGCCAAATCACACACACACACAGATTAGTACAATTAAAAGGGGGAAATATGAATAAGATCACTGAATTGTATTGATGCCAATATCCTGGTTGTGATATTACACTATAATTATGCAAGATGTTACCAGTGTGGGAAACTGGATTAAAAGTACATGGGATCTTTCTGATTATTTCTATTACTGTCTGTGAATCTGTAATTATCTTAAAAATGTCTATTAAAAATGTAAAGGAAAAAAATAGCAGAGCAATTTGAGATTTATTAAAAATAAAATATCTAAGACCTCAGGGGCTAACAGTACAGATGGTAGAGGGATTATGTTGATGAAGAGAGTCTAATGCCTGGAACTTGCTTTACAGTAACACAGGAGAGGGGTCAGTGGTTGGAGGTGAGGAAGGGGCATGGTTGGCCACAGAGTGATGATTGTTGGGTTGACTGATGGATCCACAGGTGTTCTTTATATCATTCTATCAACTTTTTGGAATATTTTTAATTGTCAAAAATGTTTAAGGTAACAAGTTTCTGATACCATGTAATAGTATACAGAATCACAGAACTCTAATTATGAAAGGCACTTGAATCATTCCATCTGGCCCAACACTCACCTTACTGATCAAAACAAGAAGGCCCAGAAAGGTTGGTGGTTTACCCAATGTCACCCAAATAGTTAGGAGTAGAGGC